GGAACATAAAATAACATGTAACACTAACTATAACTAAAAAAAGTAAAATCTACAAAAAACTTTAATAATATAAACATAAAATATGTAAAACTAATCCAATGGTTAATGTATCACAATTAATATATATAAATAGCAAAATTATGAGGCATTATTATTTTATTAATATATTTAGAATGCAATATAAGATAGACAGAAAACTATATTTAAATCTCTGTTCCATATTCAACAAACCGTGCTTCAATTTAAGAAACAAGTGTATACGTATTGCATATTGGTGTCGTGTATTCTCTTAAAAGGCCAGCGACCCACTCGCTTTTTAATCTCGTCGAAAACATTAATTAAACCTCCTTCCCATTATTTTGCTAATCTATATATATAAAAATGAAACCCGTTTTCCGTTGTCACGACATAACATGAAAACGGCTTGACCGATTTGTCTGATTTTTTTCTGTTATGTTTGTAATTGTCAGGAGAAGGTTCTTATAATCTCATAAAAGAAAAAAAGAAAAAAATTGCGCGGAAAATTAGAAAATTTAAGAATACTTAACCACCATACAATTCGAACTTTTTGATGTAACCTTATGGCGTTTGACATAACATTGACAGAATGCGTGCTGCAAATATCGGCAAAGAGGATGTAATAAAAATGAATTTCGTTTAAAATAAATGCTTCGATCGGAGTTATTATATTGATAATATAATAATATGCGAGCCAGAAAAACAAACAAAGAATGTTGTATAACATAAAGCATTAGAATTTAGAAAAATAAACACTTTGTTTCTGAAATATTTTTTAATTAATTTTACCAATTTGAAATTAATATTCATAGTTAAGACAGGACAACGTCTGTCGGGTCCGCTAGTATATAATTAAAATTACGGCTGTATTTGAAAGTAGTTTCGTCGATTTATTTTTGCCCATCGGGATTTCAGGCCTGATCAGAACCAATGTTTAATTATTTCGTTACCCTCATTCGTGATCAGAATTAATGACATGATAGACATTGTGTATTTGGATTATTGGGAGCAGTGTCGGCATCTCCTAAAGCTAATTACGATATTCGTAAAATTAATCAAATACTCTCATCAGTCAGTAACTCCTGTCTGAGGATCTTGGTAAGCAAGGAAACATCTGGACCAGACTGTCTGTTTCCACCGGTTTCTGTCCAGCGCCTCTCTTACAGTGTACAGTTTTGGGGACTATAAGTCTTTTACTTGATCAGTCAAAAGTCAAAAAGTCGAAAATCATTTATTCATGTAGGTTATTGTAGGTAACAATGTACACTTATGAACGTTAAAAAAAAGAAATAAATATGAAGTGCTTCTAATTTTACATTTATTGCCAGTTCTCAAATTAAGAACGTAGAAAGGAAGAGAAGAACTGACAATATTTTTGATCGCCAAGTTTTTTGTTTTACACAAAGTTTGTAAGGAGCTGTCAGTCCATCTGGTTGGTGAACGGCCACGTGATCCTTTGCCTTCTGTGTTACCAACCACCATTTCTCCAAGTTCTCATCGGCTCTGCGCATTGTGTGGCCGAAATATGAAATGATTAAAGCCCTAAAAATAAGCTCTATATCAAACTTTAAATGCTTATGTCATTTTAAATAGAACCTCATTGTTATTTACAAAACGTGATTTTGCTCAGCGAGAGCCTGATAAATAAAGTTATAAATTTATTTAAAGTACTCACGTACCAAAGACAATATAAAGATTCGTAAATAAAATGCAGAGGAAAATCTTGCCAGTATTAAAAAATAAGTATATAAAAAAACAATTTGAAAAGGTGTTCATTTAGTCCGTATCGTCAAAGAAATCTCAACAAATGAGCGAAAAAGTAATTTCAAACTCCTCTTACCCCTAACGTTACGTGACGTCACGTCTTAAAGCTTAAAAACGGGGTTGCCATAAACAGATTTCAGTTTTGCCCCCCCGGATCCGCTGTAAGTGAATGGTTTCCCTTGTTCTTGCTATTATCGCATCAGATGAAACACTGTCAAAATTTAAAAGCCTCTAATGTCGGATGAGACGTCGACATCAATTTGTGTGCGTGTTGTCTATTTCATACACATTTTCTTCAAAGTGTTTATTTTCCACAATTTTGGGCAACAAAAAAGATTTTTTTTTTATATTTGTTCTCTTTATCGTTTTAATACCAGTTATGTTGCATTATCCTCTAATAAATTGAGATCGAACTTAATCATTCATAAAATGTGACAGAGCCAAACCTAAAAACCACAGATCAGTAAAAATTGCAATCGTATAGACTACAGAAATTAATCCTCTAATAGCAATAGTAATAAGAAATTCCTTGGCAACTTCTTTTTTATTGCGATGTTCTGTGAAAAAGTACGACGTTATAGAAAAGCGTCGACGTTCTAAATTAAAAAAAACCGAAATAGCACAGGAAACGGTCATTAAGTTAGTATATTTTGCTCATACATGATGCCATATCAGGTTCGGTCGGAAACCATTCCCTTTTCACTCATAACGGCAAAAATAATCGTTCTAGCCAACATATTATTGGGCTAACGATAGCAGTTTCCATAACGCAACCTTACGCCAACACGATTGCCCTAAAATGTAACTCATTATCCTTTATTACACTTTGAATGTTGATCACACTATTTTTTATTGTATCTAATAACAGAAATTACGTAGCAAACAACTTTTTAATGAACGTATTCCTTTGCCCATTTCTAATGAAGATTAACTAACATTTATTTATTATATATATACGTAAGCTTGCATGGTTACGGAATTAACCTTAATAGTGCAATAAAATGAAACACCTTAACTCTCAATAAACAATAGTCATATATTATCACCTTCAAATACAAGGCAGGAAGAGTCCGGTTCGTACTTCGTATATAAAAGATTGAAATATTTAGTACTTTTTTAAAGAATGACACAAGTATGGGTATTTCAGTACCTTCATTAATATAGACAAGGAAGACTAATAGAAGACTAATAGTAATCATCATTATTTTTTTAACTTAAACAACGTTATTACAACAATAACAGAATGAAAGAGTGTCAAACAACTAAATTATCGTTTTATAAAGAGTCTAGAGAATATTATCTGCCCACTATACATCAATATACAAACATTTTCAAAGCAATTAAACAATGTTTACTGTGATGGAAGCATAACGACAAACATAATTATATTCCGTCACAGATCTAAGGCTTACAATACATACCTACGAATTTACAAACCCATTAAGGTGTAATACACACGAAGGGGAATTAACAATCCCAGAACAGTACTTATTCATGTATTTAATAAACGAACGTCTGGAATACTTATTTTTTTGAAGTGAAACTTCTTTAGGCGCATGAGGGTATTTTTTTTAAGGATAAAACAAAATAATAATAATATAATCACGAAGATGTGCAGCGTTTTTGTCGAAGAACCTTTTCTTCGACAAAATTCTTCGAGAGAGCGATTGAGACCGATTGAGAGAGAGTGAGGGCGAATAACCTCATACAAATTCTATTTTTAAAATAAACATTTCGTAAAGAGAATTTATGAAATATTAGTATTTTATATTTTATGCAAAATAATTCATTCAAATCTCAAAAGACGAATTGTAAATTAAAATGCCAGGTGTTTTTATTATCGAAGAAATAAATTTTAAAAAATGTATAATTTGTATTAATTTTCGTCACATAATATATTAATGACAAATAAATTCATTAAATTCCTCACATATCTTCCTTTTTCCCTCCCTCGAAGTCTCGGAAATCTAAAGTTTTAGATTTGTATAAATATGAACTAGAGTTAAAAATTAGTTTGCCAAAGAAGTTTCACTTCTGACATGTGTACTTCGATGCACGCAATTTTTTTTTAAATACGTATTTTTTATCGTGTTTTAAAGAACAAAATACGGAGTAGAGTAGAGTAGAAGTTTATTTCTAACTTCGTAAGCGTTATTAAAGCACTCCACAATTATTCCTTTCACCGACGTCTCCACATCCAATAGTTTCTGTTCTTATAATTTACTAAATGTTAGCAACGAGCCTAAAGGGCACAGTTCATGCGATATTCATCGTACGTAATTATCCACGCCTGTTTGCGTCAATCAGGTGCCACGCGGCTGTCGCGAAAACTAATGGCCTATGATGTCGGGCTATATTATTCAGGAATAATACCAAATTGATATTGAATTGGCTTTATATGTCTTATGAAATATCCAATATCCAAAAGTTAATAGAGGCATTTGATTGGCATATTTTATATTATCATAGTGTTCCGCTCGTCACTAGTTACCTAGTTCTCTTATCTCTTATTTAATTAAATTGAATGATTTTTTGTTTAATAAACAGTGATTTAAAGTTTTTATATACATGACTTTGTGGTGAAACATTATTGCGTATCGCTACGATATTTTCCTAATAATTCCTGGTAGCACGCGAACGAATTTACGTGTTCATAGTTATAAGTCGTTTTACTGATACTAATATTTATTTTAATCTGTGAGTAATAAGGATACATATCATATATATGTCGGAGCATTGTAATTAAAATTAAATAATATCAAAGTCAAATCAGTTCAAAACCATTATATGGTTTATTTGATTTACCAATATTAATAGATCTACAAGTTAACAGCCGGTTTGATAGTCTGTAGTAATAATAACTTCCGTCGTTATTATGAACGACCGCAGGAATAAGAGTCGGACGCTGAAGCCACTAGGCCAACATTGCTCTCTATTAAAAATATATCGAATTAACTTAAATATTATATAATTACAATCAAGTATGTACAGTATTTAAATTTCTTTTAACCTACAAGGTAATTAAAAAAAACAACAAAACAAATTTAAAAACTTTGGTCCCTGTGGCAGTGTACCTTTAACGCTGGCAGCATGTCCTCGCTGTGGAGCCAGGAAAGTACTATTAAATATGTGTTACTCATATTAAATTGTTAATAATTGCGTATTTAGTCGGTTAGTATAAATACGTATCAAACGATTTCATCTTAATATTAAATGGTATGCGATTATGCGGGTGTAAGACGTCTGCAACACGTTCCATCCACTCTGTAACCCAGTTAGGTAATTTTGGTACATGCCTTAATCCAATTAGCTATTAAGATCCGTGGACCGAATATTAATCCGCTCCCGAATTGATTCGTTTTGTAAGGAACTTGTGACCTTATGTACGATTTAACGAAATACCCCGTCGTCACGTCCCAGATGTGATTGTTACACTTGTATTTAGAAAGATTCCGGAGCGAGCACTTTTATATTTTCCTACAATATAGAAATCCGTTTTAGTTTTCATCATTTTCGAGATCACCGAACATAATGAAATGGAGTCGAAGTTCAGGGCCTGTCACGGGCGACAGCTTAAATTAATTGAGGCGTCGCTCTGGAAGTCTTTCTAATTTATCATTTTATTAGACAAGCTATTTATTAATGCACACAATTCTGATTTGTTATTATCATGTCACTGTAGACTATTAAATCACACTTATTTATTGCATGGACATATTTTTTTACCGTGCCTTTATTAAAATTATTCAAAGTGTCATATTCGCTAAGCTTCCTAAAACAATTTAAAAAAATTGCCTTTATTCGAGTACTACATAATCAGGATTACATTAATTCCATGTCATTATATTTAATACGGAATGTAGGTCTCCTCCAAGTTCTTCCCCTTGTCTCTCATCTTCGCCACAATTTTCCAATCCTTCTTAGAAGAAGTAGACTCTAGACTTTTCATAATTGTTTTATGCACATACGTGAGTAGATATTTGACTTGATAGTTTCGACGATGATTTGTACAGCAGTCAAAAGACAATGTAACAGGTAATAGGAAAAATAAACAGCGAAATTCAAAGTCAACTTCGCAGTGAACTGATTTTTCGCTAACTCAAATAATCAACACAATAAACAGAGAAGCCCGGGGCCCCTAGTCCTTCACTAATTGATCCCTGAACGTAACGAACCATTATAATTTCTCCTTATGGCTAGACGTTGCTGGAACAATTAACGAAAACCTAATTACGAAAGCAACCCAACTTTATGGAGAATATAAAAATAGATTTATATAAAGCTTTTGCAATTAAACGAAAGCTATAACAGTCAATGTTCTATGTGTTATGTACAAAATATGTTCCGCTGAAAACATTCATTTGCTTTTATTAAATAATCATTTAACTGTGCTTTTAAATTCATCGCATTTGTATTGATGTTAGAAATATTTTTATAATTTATCATATCTATTATTTATTTTTATTTTATTTATTTATTTAATTATTAGTAATGTTAAAGCTAACATTACATTATAAAACAAAATACTTAGACAATACAAAAAGCCAAAATATAGATTAACAATATATATGAAACAGAAAACAAGTAAGTACATTAATAGACAAAAATATATAAAAAAAACAAAAGAAAACTGAAATTTAACATTTGAAACGACGAATAATACTTAATATTTCAAATTACTGCTTAAACAAAATCAGAGTCTCCCCGCCTCAAAAACTTCCTCACATCTTCTATGGTGAGGTAGTATATTTAAAAAAATAGTGGCGCTACAACCAAGGTGGCCTCAGAATTTTGTATCTATTCCGTGTTAGTTTGTTCTTATAACAAATAGGTGATCAGCCTTCTATGCCTGACAAACGTTGTCGACTTTTTGGGTCCAAGGGTAAGGTTTCCTTAAGATCTTGCTCGCCATTGTACGAGCGAGTGTTGCAGCCAACACTACTTTTATATTATATATATGTTATTATATTATATTCAATATATATATATATAATATAAATTCATAAAAATATTCAATTTAAATTCACAGTTGAGTATTTTTATTTGTATAGCTGTGAGTTTGCCTGAAATTCTTCACATTCAATATATATTTGATTGTTACAGATGAAGGGAAAATTCATAAAATCGTTCAGTGGACTCGCAACGGCGACAGCCAGTCAGCTTTACTTGACATATTCGACATTACTCCAGGGGAACCTATTCAGGTATGTAGTAATATTTAACTCTGTTAATACTCGGATATTTTTATTTAATAACTCATGAGTTAAAACAAATGAATAAAAAATGATTTACTTGAAACCTTTTTCGAATATATTCTCGTCTCATAGCTTGGCCATAATAAGCTTGTCCCACACAAGCTTATTATGGCGTGTATATATTTATTGGGATACCTAAAAACTTCTGCTCATCTTAGTTAAATATTGCTGATAAATATAAAATACTAGATGAACGAATTTATCACCTACATATATTTCTGTAAACTCTTGTCAAACTTTAATACAAAGTTTTTGCCTACATTATTAAATGCACATCAATACACTAAAGATTTTAAACATTTTTTTGTCTTCTTTTACGGCGTGTTATTATATTTTTATGATATATTACACATCTTTAAACCCTCCCTGAAATTCTACAAATATTCCAAGATCAAAATTAGCCAAATCCGTCCAGCCATTCTCGAGCATTTTAGATACATTTCTATCTCTATCGTACACTGGTCGTAACTTAGTTCATATTTCATAGGCGATGGCTCTCTCGCGCACTCACGGCTCGCTCTACGCAGCCTCAGACCGCCGAGTGCTACAGCTACGCTTGGCGTTATGTGCACGCCGCTACGACGCATGCGTTCGTTGCGCAAGAGATCCGTACTGCGGATGGGACCGCGATGCTGGCGTATGCAGAGAATATATGCCTGGGTAAGTTTTATAACAAACTCGGCGAACTCCGTTTCGCCACCAGATGGCTTCGTTTTATGTAACATTTCGTTTGGTGATCCCGCTTTTCTGTTGAAATTTTTCCTGAATTTTTTTTCGCTATAAACCTCACGGACCCCGCCCCCCCTCCAACGAATGCAAAACCGTGGAAATCGGTTCAGTGCGTTCTGGAGTAGAGAAGAACCTTTTATTTTATAAGAAACAAAGATTTGTTGTTAATTAATACCTATTTATTTATTTATTTGCTTATCAGTATTCCTACAGCTAGCTAGCCAAAAACGAAATACACATTCAAACATTAACATAAGAGACAGTTAACAATAATTACGTACTTATACAAAAAAAAGGGTGCGTGTACTTATGTACGCGCGTAAGAAGTTATACTTCTTTGGCATTATTAATAATACATACGGATAGTTAACCTCAATTGTATTGAAGCACTTAGGAAGGTTGATGAGCACAGTTTTTTCACAAATATTTTCTAATATTAATTAGTATTGATTTAAATATTCAATTTAAATCACTTCTGATTATTATAATTCAAACGCACATATAAAATTCGGACTTGTATAATATGTTTTAAGTGTAGAAACTCAAAGCATGTGGATAAATATTATAAATATAAATACACAGTGAACAGAGGCGGCGTGCGTGCCAACATGCGCCACTGAAAGATGTTCCATTTCTGTTTTGTTGATAACATTTTTTCCTCAACTTAATGAGCGATTTAGTGGGCAACTTCATTCTGTTAATTTTGTGTCACGGTGCGCGCGCATCGTAAAATTTCACTCTCATCAATTTTTCATAACGCGCCTAAAGAAGTATAACTTCAAAAATATAAAAATAAAATATGTATGTATATTATAAATTGTAACCTATATTAGATACAGAAGCCTGATCACCTGCCTGCCTATAAAGTAAAAAAAGATTAGTAGTACCACTGTTTTTCTTATTCGTTTGATGAATGTACTCTATTACTTTTATACTTTGTCGCGTATCACAGCTATTATCAAACTTAATTTATATGGACTATTATCTAGTGAACACCAGAACGCCGTAAACTAAATTCACATTTGTTTACCATGATTGTTACCTGTGTTGAATTTAGTATAATTTCATAAGTTTTCCCTGCCATTGATTGCACGGCTTTCACATTTAATAACCCAGTTCCATTAACTAAGTTTCGAATCAATACTATCGATAACATTAAATCGTTCGTTAATTATACACTGGCCGCCTATCCATTGTGTATGGAAATAATCACACGAGAACAAACAACTCGAATTTCAAATGCCTTCTATGCCTACAATAGATACAAAGTTAAATAATCAACATTTACTGCTCTATTTGTTACTGTGTAAATATAATTATCCTAATGGATATTGTATACAGCCAAAGCAAATTATTGTGAGGCAAATTTTTTTAAAGCAGTGTTGGCCTAGTGTTTTTAGCGTGCGACTCTCATCCCTGAAGTCGTAGTTTCGATCCCCGACTGTGCACCAATGGACTTTCTTTCTATGTGCGCATATCACATTTGCTCGAATAGTGAAGGAAAACATCGTGAGGAAACCAGCTTGCTTTAGAGCCAAAAAGTCGACGGCGTGTGTCAAGCACCGGAGGCTGATCACCTACTTGCCTATTAGATTGACAAATGATCATATATGTATCCAAAAATCTGAGGCCCGGACCTAAAAAGCTTGTAGCGCTACTGATTTATTTTAAGAATTTATTTTAGTTACTAGGGATGCAACGGATGGCCTTATCGCTAATAAGCGATCTCTCTCGCAACCCTAGTAAAAAAAAAATACTAAAAGTGCAAAAACCATCATACGGGATTCTTGTTTGTGAGTATTTCATTTTTAATAAGCACCTTTCGTACCAGATTAATTCAAGACGTGGCGAACGAAACAGCTGATATTTGTGACTCGTCCATATCACGAAAAAGCGTGTCTGCCACGTGGGGTCAAAGTCTGCACCTGGGAAGTTTTGTCAAGATGCCCGAGGTACTCCAGCCGTTATCCGTCACCTGGTATCATTACTCGAAAGAGAAAGGACGTCACCCTATAACATTCAAGTAAGTTTACATTGGTATATATAATATGTAATTAGGATCGTTCAAGTATTACGTAACGAATTTGGGAGGAGGAGGGGGGTACTTTCGTAAAACGTTACGATGCGGGGCGGGTAATACCTGAGTCACTTTGGTGGTCACGAAACGTTTTACAGAACAGAAAAACGTTACGGTGCGCTAGATAGGGGGGGTAATAATCTCCAAAAATTGCGTGTCGTAATACTTGAACGCTCCCATATGGGAAAAGGGACAATTTATTTGTAATAACCAAATTTAGACACTTTTCACGCAAGTAATGGATTTCGTAGATAAATAACACTTTAAAATCTTGATTTCGTATTTCGCCTTACAAAAGTAAGCTTGAAATACTTTCAAAGTTAACAGTATAAAGTAACATGAAAAGCAATAACTTTTCTTTGTAAATACTATAAAAATAACAAGGGAGCAAGTGCACGCGTGCAACAAGATTAATTAAAGTGTTTCCAAATCCACCGCTATCTACTTCCGCGGGCATAATTAAAACGCGGGGGAAACTCTTGTATCGCTTTTACGTTCTCTCTCATTTTCTTTTATCCAACCGTTAACACCTTGCTATAGCTGTGTTATTTTAATGAGTTGTACGGGGGCTCTGCCAAAATAATTTAGTATCGCTTACTTATATTGATTATTCGTTGAATAGGTCTACTATGAACCTTATTGTCTAATAAAATATGTATGAAATGACTCACTTCGAAATCTAGTAGGTTTTTTGTAAAACAAAATTTGTGGAAACGTTTAAAAGATATTATAGAGGAAGACAATGCCAATTCATTATATGGGGAGACGTTTTTACGATTATTATAATAATTAAACGTTGATTAAGCCAGTGTGTGGATAAAAAACAAAAATCTAGTAGTATTTAATAATTATTAAATCCTCTAATAATATAAATAGGATTGAATAGGGCTTGCAAACAAGACAAAACATTAAAAAATTGTCTCTTCTAATCGCCTAATATTTTTGGCAACAGATTAATTCAGCAACTCGCTGTTTATACGTATTTACACAAATCTTTTTAAAAGATAAAGATTGTCTTATAATCGTATTCTTTTGAGTAGCATTGCAATATAAACCTCTTTTGTTTTCAGTAAACCCGAGAAATATATTGAGACGTCGGAACATGGACTACTTATAATATCTGTGAGCGAGTCAGATGCGGGACGTTACGATTGTTGGCTCGGTGGATCACTGTTATGCTCATACAATATCACTGTTGACACGCACAGGTACAAATACATAAGATAAAATCTCCTGTAAATTATGTGAATTTCATACATACATACATATAATTATAATTGTAAGAGTAATTTTGGCCTAGTGGCTTGAGCGTGTGACGTCCTGAAGTGGTGCGCTCTAATCACGGCTCCACCAATGAACACCAATCTCGTAAATCGTAATGGATCGGCAGGCCTAAGACCCAAACATTTGCGGATTATAACAGTTACAGAAGGATGCCTATCAATTAAAATGATCCAGGAAACTAGGGTTTTAGCGCCACTGTTTTTTTAGGAAACTTTTAACATCCCTTCCCTAGTACACGTACGTTAATAACACGTTTGTTTAATAAATAACACGTCCTTAAATTAATTTTTGGCTGGAATTGAACCCGAGACCATCTATCTAATGAGCGATTTACCACATCGAGAACATTACTAGTACTAGTATTAGTATTCTAATGTAATCGCCGAGTTCCAATTTCTGTTCTCAATTATTCCACCAAAGAAATTATGTGTGATGCACTCAGTTTGATTGGTCCAAATCATCTCTAGTTCAATACGCGTTGACATACAACATGCATCAAATTATAACAATCTAAAGCAAGATTACGTCTTTTGTTTTAAATTCTCACCCCCCAGACATATTCCACGAGTTCCAATTATAATATATTTTTTAGATGTTCACCGCCAGAGAAAAGCAACGAATACCAGAAGATTTACTCGAACTGGTGTCACGAATTTGAGAAATATAAAACTGCGATGAAAACGTGGGAAAGGAAACAAGAGGTAAGTCGAAGTGAGCGCTAAGATAAACAGTTTTAAAGTAAGCTGCTTGTGTTCATGTAAATGTGACCCGAGGGTTTCTTTTAATGGATTTTTAACTTTATTCACGCTATGATTGACAGATTACTTCTTTCGTTATATTATGTATTTAAAATCGATGCTGGTATAAATAAACATACACATACACACATACATACATACATTACATACATACATGCTATGACTAAAGTAATAAACAAAATAAAACTAAAGCTAGAGTGGTGTGTGGGTGTGTGAATATGTGTAAAGGTGTAGGTATTTAATGTGTGTGAAATAATTTAATTTAAAGTCTTGTCCAAAATGTTATGTGAATAAAATATGTATCGACTAAGAAAGCTAGTATTCTGTTAAATACAATTTGTTGAAACATTTAAAATATACGATAGAAGCACAAAAATATTTACATTTTTTAAATATTATTATATCATTCTAGTTTATTATATATTTTTAACTTTATATGTGAACAGCGAAATTCAATTAAGTCTTAAAAATTAGTATATGTTTTACTCTGGCATAAGAGAAAAATAGATACCAAAACAAACATTTTAATATTAAGAAAGCATGTATATCTTTTATTAATTTCTCCTCGTCGTATATAATATGAGTATGATATTTAATATAGTATAATTAATGTTTCCAGTTGTACAGTCTGACACTTTGATCACCTAATTGCTCGTTAAGATTAAAGTAATCGCTTTTATGGCTTAGTGATCAAACAATGACTACTTCGGGTTGGTAGGCGGGTAGGTAGGTAGTAATCTACTTGCCTCACATATACCTATGACGCCAAATATCCGTCATATTTTAAGGTATCTTGTATGTCAAACTGTCAAATTGACACACGAGTTAGCAGGCCCTGACTAACGGTTAACGACTTCTATAATTCTATTTGTCAAGTAATGTGTGTCATACAAAGATTTATACTTAGCAATTCTTGATTCTTAATTGTGTGTGATTTCAAATATATGCCGTGACTAACAAATATTTTTCTTTTCAGCAATGCGCTCGACAAAATGACTCAAATCAAAACACACATCCAAATGAGATTGTGTGATAGCTTCTGAATATCGCCTATCTCATGTTCCAATCCGTGTCCTCCTACGGGATAATACCTGTGCCGTACGTGAAAGCCGCTCTCAAACACTTTAACATCCTCACCTAAGTTAATCTACGTGATCTAAAAATATTATATTTTCATACATGAGAAGGTGATTCAAAATTTATGGACAATTTTTATAATGAAAACTAGAGTTGTGCTTCGTTGGTGGCGTAAGCTGGTAGGAAAATTGATAGTAAGTTTTCGTACGTGTGTGCTTACTCATTAAGTTAAATCTTGCCATTTAGACGCGGTGATATCATTTGAAGTTTAGCCTGTCTTGCTCATATGTATGCGAAACATTTGGTAGCCAATATGTGTTTTGTTTTTGTGTTAAATAATAAAAAAACCTGGAGGAGCGGTACTGTCAACAATACGCTATTTTAAAAGAATCAAAACTGTGTTAGTAATACAGAAATTGAACCAGGTAGATTAGGAATTATGACCTTCATTTGAGGCATCAATTGATGAGCTTTCTAAAATAAGTGGAAACCAATAAAATCAAAACTAATCCAATTGCAGAAAATCATTAACTATAGTTTTGCTTCTTTCTAAAACTATATTCCTCTCCGTTTTGTTAAAAGGTTTATAAAACAAAAACAAACAATTTGTTAGGTTCAAATTAAACGATTACCTTTAATATGTGACGTACAATGTATTTTCTTATTTCGCTTATAAAAATTAAGATCTATGATATCCGAAGCCGCTTGAAACGTTAAAATAAAATAGCCAAACATTTTGACCCTATCCTTAATTATGTTTGTTAAAATGATCAAACTCGTTGCCTTTTTACTAATGAGTGAATACGTTCTGTAATTTGAAATCTCTAAGGGTTGTGGGTTTGCCTCATTATTTTGCCCTTTATTCATGTAAATAGTTACCTAATTTTCTCTAAGTGTACGTATAGAATGCACGTCCCTAAATAATGTATATTTAAGCCTGTGATATATAAGGGAAGCTACACACATGACACGGTCAGCACATGTGCGTAGCACGCCCGAGAGATTTGTTTAGCGTAATGCATTCAATTTAAATGCTTGTTTTGAAGAATTCTTTATTAAGAGTACATGACATATACAGCCGCAAAGTTAATATGTAATAATTGTGTGACTCTTAATTTAAAGACTTCATATAAAGGATACAATGTTATTAACTATTCGCGGTACTTAGAGTCGTCAATTAAGTTATCTCTACTAAAGCTGGAAGACACAAATGTTATGAGTGATTTATGATTGATTTAAGAACGCATAGAGAAGTGAAAGATCTCTTTACTTTCCGATTTGATCTATGATAATTATTATTAGTTACCCTTAATGGACGACTCTAAGTTGCTGTGAGCACTTAACAAGTGTTGAGGCTTTTAAACATTGCACTTAATTAGAAGAAGATTCGGTTAATACCGACCAGAATGTTTGATTACTCTGAAATGGTTATTTAAATAGAATATATAAAAACAATTAAATGCTTTTGCGATTATATGTTAAGTAGAAACTTTGTGAAATTATTTAAAAACGAAAACTCAGCAATAATATTATGTAACTAAATACAAAAGCTTGCTCACTAAATAAAATATATCTCGGAACAGGTATGTATACTTCGCTTGAAGAGATTTTTATTTTGAACGTAAATTTAAAAAAATAAACATCTCTTTTCTCCAAACGTTTTAATTTATTCGTAATATTGAATCATTTTACAAAGATGTCAACGTCATATGTATATGTCAAAGTAATCTTGAAATTGTCTATGATTGCGATGTTTTATCTACGTTTTCTTTGTTTTTAGTAATAAAATATTATTCCGTTTCTTAATATGTTGAAGAGCAACCCTGTTCCGATATATCAGTTAATATTATACGTATAAAGTATATTAGTAAATAAATGTAGATGATGTTTTAGAAAATAATTCTGCATATTTTTGTACAAAGAATTGTTCGTAAGTAACTAGAGGTTTCGTCTTGTATAACATACTCACTGGTACCTTTTGACACTTCGATTCCATATCATAAATATTTAAGAGCTTGTATTATAATGTACCTACACCATTGTATTTGAAAGACAAACTGTTTTAAATGAAATCGTAAAAATATTTTTTCTAGATATCTACGTTATAGAAATGTATTGTTCTTTCAAAAATGTTTCTTTTCTTCATCTTGACTCACATTGAAACCGGCCATTTGAAAATATATTTTAATATTCAGTAGACATTCATTCACTAACAAATTTTATGAATAGGTGCTTGAAATATATTTAATTTTAGCAAAAGCGTAATATTTTCAAATTTCTCATATCATATGTAAATATATTGACCGGAATAGATATAATTTAGGTATAAATCTGAGCTTTTAAAATTTAAACACTTAAGATCCCAGTACTTAAGTATTTTAGTGATTTTTAACTAAGGTACTGATAGGATGTCTTGCGCAATAATTATAGCTAAATACTTACTTACTACGTATGGTGTACATTTTACAATATGTTACTATTATAAGTTAAAATTCAAAGTAGATTAAGAATTTATATAATAAATCTATAAAATGTATCTCGCAGTTGGTGTTTTATTTAACATACCTCATTCATTGTATTTGTACCTTAAGGGTCATGGAGACATACTTTGGTTTTATAGAATGTTGGTTGTAATTATTTTTTTTAAAAAAAAAAAAAAAAAAATGGGGGGCTCCACCCCCCCCTGGGGGGGGGCCCCCGTTTTTTTTTTTTTTCCCCCCTTTTTTTTTTCACCCAAATAAAAAAAATTAAAAAAAACCCCCCCCGGGGGCGCCCCCCCCCCCCCCCTTTTGGGGGGGGGGGGGGGGGGGCCCCCCCCCCCCTCCCCCCCCCCCCCCCCCCGGGGTTTTTTCCCCGCGCGGGGGGGGGGAAACCCCCCGGGGGGGGGGGGGGGGGGCCCCCCCCCCCCCCCCCGGGGGGGGCCCCCCCCCCCCCCCCCCCCCCCCCCCCCCTTATTTGCCTACCAAACAAGTATATATTTATTTGATAATCGACCAGGGACTAGAGTTATCAATATGCATTACATTCTTCGAAACTAATCATATATTTTTAATGAAGAACCTTTCGTTTTGGTCAAAGCTCACCGATGTCCAGATTAAGCATTCTGATAAACCAGCTAGTCCAGACCTATTTTATCAGAAAGCATAGTTGCTCCCCTCACACTTTAAAATCGCTTTTCGTTTAGTTTTTGTAATGTTAATTGTTTTGTTTAATATTTGTATATATATATATTTCGTGTGTCATGTTTGCCTTTAAGAGCTTGTCATATTAAAAATTGTATATTGTGGTTCTTTTACCAATGTATTGGCCGAGCGTTGGCAAGCTGTTATCAAAAAAAATAACGTCTTCTAGGATCGGAATGTTTTAAAATAGTTTAGTCCAAAAGTTGAATACTTAAACTCATTATTTTAAATACACTTATTGACAGCATTCATCTTCCTGAAGGGGCACGATAGTCGCTTGTTTTCAAAGGTAAACAACACTTTAAAGAGTGTCAATTCATCAAGTCGCAGACCGGGTTGACGTTTTCGTCATAACAACCGTCATCCGGGGGGACGCACCCTTCGTCCGTCAACCGAGGGCTATAAAAGGGCGCGTAATTATATAGTGCCACTAAACTAATTTCACGATACATTGCCGACGAAATCTGTGCTTGGCACCGCCTTATGAAATACGATTTTTCTATAATAAACCGATTACCGTTGTAACATGCTATTTGTTATGAATTGCTAATAGCAACGTTGGAAATAACGTCCCACGCAGCTGACTAATTTTGACTTACGTTCGCGCGTTGAAAGGATATTATAATTATATGCAACTAGCTTTAAACTGAGTATGTTTTATTTACTAATATGTTAATAGCAGATATTATACTTATTATTAACGTACATACGCCTTATCTCTGTTTTGTAAGTAAACATTGAATACAAAAATAGTATACAGAACAATAGGAAAATCAAATCAGAAGCCATCTGCCAATGAAAGCACCACCCTAGATATAGCACAACCGTGGCTGACATAACTTGACTAAGTCATTTTTTTATTTCAGTAAATTATTGTACATAGTAATAATAATAATTAAAAATTGATAGTTAGAAAATTATTCGTGTTTTTATTAAATACAAAAATTGCATTTCTATATAGGACTTGGTTTTAGATCGCATGTTTTGATTTTCCTTAAAGTCAAGTAGGTGGGCGTCTATGCCTGAAACAAATGTGCGAAAAATATGAAAGAATTTTTTGATGCTCAGCCAAGATTTGCATTCAGGACCTCACGTTTGAGAGTCTCTTATCACTAGGCTGTCGCTGCCCGTTATATGAAAAATTAAACTTATTATTTATTACAATTAGTGTTTATTAGTTGATAACACTCAAAATAATATTAACAATTTTCTTAACCTACATAGTAATAATAAAAAAAAATTAAAACAAATGTTAACGCTGGCAGCATTTCCTCATAAGCACCAGCTCTGGGATTCGCTCTGGGATAACCGGTACTATCCACCAGGCGCCAACTTAAATCTTTAATTGCACTGTGCACGAGAATGTAAGTGCGTGCTCCTATTTCACCATGCCTCCTGCTGATAGAGGACAAATTTTTGTTTTGAATTTTTTATTATTTATTACTCAAGATGTCATGTGGAACATGGTGTAATGGTTGCAGCTCCTTACAAACGTTGTGAAACAAAAAACTTGGCGATTAAAAAGAGTGGCGGAGAGTTTTTTGCCAGTCCTTCTCGTCCTTTCTACGCCCTTTGAGAACTGGCAGTAAATGTAAAATTAGAAGCATTTAATGTATATTCCTTTTTTGACGTTCATAAATGATTTTGACTTTGACTTTGACTTGAACCCCACGGCCCAAGAGTCTCTACCCCAAACGGAACCTAATCGAATTTATTTTTTTCGTTCATTTATTACAACGATAGTTTCATACTGGTGCAGAACATTAGCAAGAAA